ACAGGCTGCTTTTCTGATGGTGTTATGGCATAAGTAGAAAAAAAATAATATACATATCACTTCAAGCAACAGCCAGCCACAGACCCATGTCCCCTGTAGTCGGCTGTGCTGAGAATTCTGGGCTCCTCCACAAAGGGCAAGAAGGAGAGGTCCCCCAATGTGAATGTGCTATAAAACAATATTGTGTTTCCCTTAAGAATTGCAGTGATAAAAACATAGCCCATTGTGCAGCGCTAGCAACTTTAATAAAATAACATAAAGCACAGCTGTCAGGTCTGCCAGCATCTCACACTGGGAGACATGAGTGAGAAAATGAACACTTTTCACAAGCAGAAATATTCAAAGAGCTCCACTGTTTACATGCAATCAAGACTGACAGTCATAGATTATCGGTGGAAGAGCATTTTCTGCTTGAGGTGAAAGAAGAGGATAATTTATCAGGAAGCCCAAGAAGTCAGACATCAGTAATGATCTGCTTGAAGAAGGGCACATCTTAGAAATAGTGCATTTATTTCTACTGCAAGGCAAGAAGATGTTTGGAGTTAAAAACACGAGTCTTGGTGCTTGAAGAATGCTGAGCAGATACAGTGTGTAATTTGCTGGGCAACTGCGATTAGAGAACTGACTAATGTGTGTCCCGGTGCTTGTTCAGAATATTAAAAGAAAAATTTAGCATACTAGAGATTGTCTAAAAGAGCTGCTCATGCTCTCTCATCCTGTTCCCTCCTTTTAGTGTTATCCAAGCTCTGCTGAGGACATTGCTCACCTTCCTGTTGATGCTCAGGGTTCAGAGACACTCTTGTAGAGTCTTTACAAACAGGTTTGGTTTTAGAGAATTTGGGGCTTTCAGAGTTTTGCAGTAAAACGTTTTGTCCACCTGGTGCAATGCTTTTGCATCACTTTTCTCTTATGAAAACAGGCCAAGTACCATGTGCTTTGAACTGGTAACTAATTTGGAGCCCTACAGAAAAGGTTTAATAGGCTCACCTTGCCTTAGAGGGCACTGAGTTTGCAGAAGTGGAATTGTGTACAGAAAGTATCACAAACTTCAAGCTAGACTGTGTTTGGATATATCTGAGTAAGGATGTCAGCTCAACTTATCCAGCTTTTACTCTGACAGGGATAGGAAAGGTGGATAAATCACTAATTTTTATGGATGGATATCTGGCAAATAGAGGCACTTTTTTACCCTTTAGCTTGAGCAGAACCTTGGAGTGTTCTTGAGGTGCAAGAGAGTGATGCTTCCTCAGATTAATCCAAACTTTCAATAGAAGTCAGATGTTTGCAAAGATTCACAGCTGGGACTTGGATGTGTGTGTGAACATGAACACACTCTTAAGGCACAGAAGTCCCTAAGAAACAAGTAACAACTGTTATGTTTGTTCCCCACCTGAATTCTAAATCAGTACAATTTGTAACTGAAATATCTATGTTCTCCTCTCCTGAAAGCAGCTTTATAATTTAGCTAAAATACTACAGAGACTGTCTTAATCTCTCTTAATTAAAACAAACAAAAACATTTTACATAAAATACAATTTACATAAAGTAAAATTTTACATAAAGTAAAAAAAAAGTAGAAAATAGCTTCAGCTTACAGAGGCCCTTATGGGGAGAACTGAACCTGGCTGAAATGTACCTTACATAAGAACACATGAAATAACCAGGTGAGACCAAACCCATCCATGATCACATTCCCTTGTCGCCATTAGGGATCCCTAGCAGATCCTGGAGATTTGAAGAACCAGCAAGGTGCTCAGGAGGACCTGCATTGTGCTTTTCAGCTTCCATAGATTTGTAGTATGTGCAATCCCTGAGCTAGAGCTGATATCAGCAACCTTTATTTTGTCGTCTGTTTGTTGGTACTGTTGATCTTCAACCTGCCAAATGTTTAGCATCCAGAACACCATGGAATGTTGTGGGGCTGGAACAGACTGTAAATATTACCTAGTTCCAGACTGCTTCTGCCATGGACAGGGACACCTCCCACTGGACCAGGCTGCTCAAGGCCTTATCCAGTGTGGCTTTGAGCACTGCCAGCGCTGGGGCATTCACAACTTCTCTGGGCAACCTGTGCCAGCATCTCACCACCCTCACAGTAAAAATGAGCTTCCTAATATCCAACCTAAATTTCCCCTATTTCAAGTTGTACCCATTACTCCTTGTCCTGTCATTACAATTCCCAATGAGTTCCTTTGCCTTCTCTGTGGACTTCCTTCAACTACTGAAAGGTGCTGTGGGGTCTCCATGCAATCTGCTCTTCTTCAGGCTGAACAGCCCAAATTTTCTCAGCCTGTGTTCATAGAGAAGGTGCTCCTGTCCTCTTATTAACTTCTTGGCCTCCTCTGGACTCCTCATCTAGCAAGGTTATCCATAATTTAATTATTTTGCATCAAAGTGGCTCTCTCTGTGCTTTGGCTTATACTGGAGCTGCAGGATGGTGGTGTCAGAGAAGGATAGGAGGCCACCAGAGGTGATTTTCCCAATACCTCCAGTGTTAGTTTGGTAATATCACAAGCTAAGTGGCTCTGGGGTGATAATTGTGGATTGCACCTCAGAAATGATTGGCACAGTAAGAGCTCTGAGCACAGAGTAGTCCTAGGATGCTGTGTGGGGGTAGATGTAGCAATTTTATACTGAAATAATACTCATCTATGAGTCAGTTAACAATGAATACCTTGGCTGTGGCAGTGGTTTACCACCTCAGGCTGTTGTTTGACATTCTCAGTGTGCCCACAAAATGTGGAGGCACCTTTTCAGTGAGAGAGGCTCGAGATGCCTGAGCTGAGCTCCCATCCAGGCTGGGCTGCTCTGTCTCCTGGGGGCTGTGCACTGGCAGCCAGAGCTGCTGGGCTTCCAGGAAAGTTTCAGGATTCATTGCTGCTCTCCATACATCTGTTTTAACCTCAAAGATTGATTATTTTTAAAGGTTAGCTGTTATGTAGCAGAAGAAACCCTCACCTTTGCCAGGTTTGAGAAGACACTGTGGTCTGTAACCGCGCAGTTTTAATTTAGACAACAACAGCCATTGCAGTTTAACCCTCCTTATTACCACTCAGTTTTCTTGAACAGGAAAAAAAATATCACCACCTGCCAGTCACACCCCCACTTTACCAGTCTCCACATGGAGCCAGCTCTCTCCTGGATTGTGCAGAAACGAGATAGCAAGGGAGAACAGCAGCCAAATCATGTCACTAAAAGCAATTCTGGATTAAACAAGAAGACCTTGAGGAACAGGGGCAGCTCTCCCTTGCCTTCCAGCTTTTGCCTGCTGTACCTCCTACCAGGCTGAATGAGCAAAACACTGCTTTTTTTTCAGAAAACAGCTCACACCTCAGTCAGATTTACCACCACTTGCCTTGTCCTGGTGCATTCTCTTGTCCATAGAAAGTACAGGGTGATGGATACTCTTTCCAATAACTCATTGCCAGGTCACCCTGTGGGTGTGTGCAGAGGGTGGCAGCAGACCTGTGGACCCAGGGCATGTGCTGATAGTGTGTACACTGTACCAGTCCCTGCCTTTTAAATCTTTCTCTCTTATTCTGTGGCATTATTACAAGATGGATTTATAACATACTTAGTACTAATGGAACAAGGAAGATTAGTCTTCTCTGAGTCGAACAGTAATATACTTTAATTTGCCTACAGCTACTGCATTGTATTGGCATGAAAGGAAATGGCTTTCTAATGCAGCTTCATCTGCTGAGCAGGGGGAATTCTGTGCTGCAGAGTGTAAAACTACATGGGACTCTAGCTGGCAGCAAAATTCAGAGTAGGAGAAACATAGCATAAATAAAAGTATTTGTGAGTTGGAGGTATGCTAACAATCCTAGTTTGTTGCTAAACATTCCATATACAGTAATGTACTTTGCTTGGAGGTTCATGATGGCTTCATCTTTGTTTTTTCACCACTTCATCTTCTATACTATAATTTTTCCTGGAATAAGAGGTGTAAATTCTTTAGTTTTCAATTTTTTTGTGACATTAACAGGAAGTTGATATTATGAAATTCCTTAGAAGCACTGGTGCAGTTAATGCAGTCTGTGCCGTGCTCTAAACCTAGAGAACCATTGGAATCTCAATACTTGATCCGTTAAGTAAATGTTTCTGCTGTCTGGTGTAAATGCTGCCTTCACTTGACAAGTGTCAGGCGTTCTTTGAAGGGACGTGCACAAACAGTCACTCAAGTGCCAGTATTTACCCTAATATGGAGCTCCCTTCTTCAGGAAAGCAGCAAAGCTGTCAGCTTCTCCCTTCTTCTTGAGTGGCAAAGGAAGAAATTATCATGTCTGAGACAATATCATGTAACAGTTACTGCCTATGGGATAGAGCAAATTTTTGCGGGCACAGTGTGCCAGTTGGACCCAAAAATTATATGTTCCTTATACTTTTTTTTTTTCCCAAGAAACCAATGAAATATAATTATGCTTAAAGTAACAGGTTTTGTTTCTAGACTAGGGATGTGTCTTGCTTTCAACAATGGCAGGGAAGGATTAATGACTTACATGCAGAGAAGGAATGAAAAAAAATATTAATATAAACTGCTGATGGGAAACAATTGCAACAGGGCTTTGTTATCACAATAGGTCTTTGATAGGAAATGTGGTCCCATGAGCAGAGGAACAGACAGAGAGAAAAATTCACAGGAAATAGTGACAAGGTGTCCAGCTCACTCCACTGGTGGGGTGAGTGCTTCAAAGGACCTGAGTGTTTTCCTGTTGTTTTACCTGCCAGCTTTGCATCAAAGACTCACAAGGTGTCTGACCATCAGCCCACAAAGCTGAGCCTGTCCCTGCCTGTCCCTCACCCTGGCACCTGGTGCTGTCCTTGTAAATGCAGCCACTGTCACCACTCTAAACCAGCAACCTTCACCCTTCCTCTCTTCATCACCAGGTCCATCCATCCTGAAGACACGTGGAATAGTTAGATTCATTGCCCTAAATTTGACATTAAAACTGAAAAAATAATAAACTGACTTTTTTTTCTTTTCTCCCTGAAAAAGCTGCAGCGACACGACAAAGATGATTCCCCTGACAAGTGGAGGACAGAGGAAGAAATGGCAGCTGAAGCAGAAATTCTGAAGAAGTATTTCCAGGAAAATTAGAGGTAACGATCTGACCACTGACTTGCTCCTGCAGCACCCCAACCTTTGCTCAAGCCTCCAGAAGCTTCTTGAGGACAGCAGGGCAAATATCTAGAATGAAACAAAAGAAAACAAAGCTCTTAATTTTCTGTTGTTTCTAAAAGGTCATGGCACTCCAAGAGTGGCTGAAATGACATGCTCCTTCTTGAACAAATCAGCACCATCCTAGAGTATTTTGTTTCCAAAAAGCAAAAATAATGGTGTATCTAGAAAAGAGAAATTTACTTAAGAGGAGTCTTTAACCTAACATATCCTCCCTCTGTTTTTAGGACAGAAAACAGTCCTGGTACCTCTACACAGAGCTATAACTGGTGTGTCTGTGTACAACCACATATGCATATGCACCTATGCATACAAAATTGCATCAGAATTCAGACTATAGATTGCATAAGCAAATACTAACCTCACCTGTCAAGTATTAAATAATTTGATCAGTTCAACTTCCAAAACTAAACCTGCTGGAAAACTGCCTGTTCTGCTAAATTTTCCACTGACCTTAAAAGAAAAAGATTTGTAGGGAGGAATGGAAGGGAGAAAACACTTGGCAAACACTAACATTAGTGCTCTAGAAATTGAGTTTTTCATTTTGTACCTGGAGTCCCAGGAGCCGGATTCTTCCAGCAGAAATGAACTGGCCCCCGGAGATCAATGTGAGTTCGGCTGGGATGTAATACTGCAGCAAGGATGCCAAATCTCCCTCTCCCCTGCTCCCCATATGCTGTTTGCCATCACTGAGCACTCTCACTTCTCTGTCATTTCTCACTGTTTCATGTTTTTCCTTTGAAGAACCAAAATCCCAGAAATAACCTTCCTCTCTGTGTGACTCACTGATTGCAGCATGGCTTGAGAAATCTTGAGCTAAACCACACATTGTATGGGTGGCACTCTTAGGTGGCAGCTCTCATCTCCTGTGCCGTTCTGCCATTTGGATGGCATTTTGGATAACTCCATTTGGAGTTCATCAGACTTCCCCTTCCATTTTTTTTCTTGCATCGTGACCATGCTCTTGTCTTCTCCAGCCAAAGGAGCTGTGCCAGCCCTTCTGTGGATGCACAGAAAAAGCCATGTAACACATGTAATTCCCATCTGTGAAGGAAATTTCTCCCCAGCAGCTGGACCTCCAGGGTTTGGAGCAGCAGGGTTTGCGCTACACGGTCACATTTCTGCAGTGGCTGCTGGAGTTGCATTTAGACACCTACTTTTCACCTTCTCAGAAATATGCTGCTCAAAAGTGAATTACTCAGCCAGGAAGAGCATAATGCATGTGTAAGGACTCTTCTCTGACAGAGACATGATGTGGTGCTTCATCTGTGGCCCAGCTTAGGGGAAAATGGCACAGCCCTATTCCAGTGTGATATTGCTTCCCTTTATTGATTTGGTAGGTTTTGGTGGGATTTTTTTCTGGTCTCTTCAGAAATGAATTGGAAATGCATTTTTTCCTAAAGATTCTCAAAGGTTGGAATTAAATCCCCACATATCAATAAAATGTTCTTTTCTCTTCTGATACTAAACACGAAGCTGGATAGATGGTGTAAATCCTTGCCTGCAAGAAAATTCATGTGGCTGGACATCTATTTCCATTTATTATGAAAATGAGTCAGCATGTGTCTGCATGGATGACCTCTTGATACATTTCCTGGGATATTAAGGTCATTACCTTTCCTAGAACAAACTGGTAAATTAAATCTTCCTGGCATCATTATCGTGAGAGTGTCTAGTCCTTCCAACCCTTGATTCCCAACATTAGGCATCACTGTCAATCTCTTGTCCCCAACATTATTTTGCTTCTGAGGTTTAAGGCTCTGAACCTGAGATAAAGGTATATCTATGCACCTTCTGCATTTCTCAGCCTTTGTCTTCTCTCTTAACCTTGCTTCTAAAGTGATGAAGATTGAAAACTTTTATCAAATTAACCAGGCTATATCCATCCTTCTTTGAAGCTATTTTTGTATTTCACCTACAAAGGATTTATTTTGACATTTGTGGCTTTACCTGAATGACACTTGAGTTTTTTCATGCAGCATAAGGAAAGTCAGAAAAAGCTGAATGTGGGTGTTCTGCAGCAAATAAATAGTGATTTTTAAGGCCTCATGCATTATTTTTGTACTTCATTATTTTGTTTAAGAAGCCCAGCTTAGATGGCTTAGCCTGGGCAGACTGAGCTGTGTTTTAGGGCTTTTCCAGCTACCCTTACTTTTATCACGAGCCCTTCACCACCTGCCACAACTCCTGTATTACTGGACAAGGTCCTGTAGCATCTTTTACCTGTATTTAGAGACTATCTGATCAAGAAGGACTTGTGAGTAACTTTTTCCTAATAAATACTTGAGTAAGGCAACAAGCTCATAGTTCTCTCCCTACTTCATTTGCTGCTGCTTCTACATCAGTCCCCAGGTGACCCAAAATATCCACTTGCTTAAGGAAATGAACACATTTAGCCTTGCTAAGTTTACACCCTTAAGAAAATGCTTATCTTTAAATATTTTCTCTATGTGTGCAATATCAGTGAGTGAATTTGTGCTTTGCATGTGTTTCTGGTTTTCCCCTGGGTGTCCCCATGACACTGTATCCCTCCTTATTAGAAGTACTTGTTCTTTCTGCTCACAGAACTGTGTCTGCAGAGCTGAAGCTCAGGAGAACTTCATGTCACTCTGGAAAAGAGAAAGAAAAGGAAGGAAAAACTTTCTAGGGGGAGAATATTTAATATAGAATTTCCCCAGTTAGTCACTCTTGTTAGTAGCACCAAGATTTTACCTCTTTGGAGCCTCTTTGGGAGCTGTTTCTCATTCTGTGTGGCTGTGCTCTGGTCAGCTGTGTTTGGTAGCTTGGCTGCTTTTTGACATGGATCCACAGGGAAAAGGTCCTTACTCAAAGAGCAGGATTGGATGCAGCACCCTAATTTCCAAGACTATTTTCAGATGTGCCTTTTGAATTTTCTAGCTATGTATAGCTGGGTGTTTTGATAGTCTGTTTTGAGCATTTTAAATTGCACATGCCAGCAAAAAGGCTAAAGATTAAAAGACTTTAACCTTCAGATACTATGTGAAAAATGTTTCTCTTCAAAGGCAGCTTCAGTCTGTGTTGTTATTTCTGAAGAAAGAACCAGGCTGCACAAGTTTCAGTAGTTTTCCTATTTTGTGCGTAACTGAAGTAATACTTTTATGCCATTAGAAAAGTAGTCAGTCTTCAGTACAATGTCCAAATGTCCCTTTGCATAAAGAAGTTGACAGTGATATTCTGTTGCCAAGTGCTTAGAGTTACAAATATTCAATAGCTTTTAATTGCTTAACCACCTGAATATTTTGTGTCCTGCAACATGCCAAATTATTGTAGAAATCCCATCAAATAATGTGTCCTGCACAGCCTTGAAGGATTTCTGATGTCAATTCTCCCCCTTGTCCCCAGTCTGGCAATGTTTCTGGATAATATAGTCTTTCCAGCTTTTCCAGAGAGTATAAATTTTACTCTTTTTTCCCCCCCACTCATTCTTTGAGAGCACTCATCCTGCCTCACAGCTGCCTGTTCTGCACCAAGATCTTGGCATGTGTGAAAAAATGCTGTTCTATTGACTTCAGCAGGGAAATTACCCCTGACAGCAGCAGCTGGCCAGGGGGGAATTTAAACTGGCAATTTGACTTGCATCTGATTTTGCTCCAACATCTCTGGAGTGTGACAATCCGTTCTGCATACATGAGAGTGAACACCAATCCCATCACTTTCCTTAAATTTAGGCAAGTATGACAAAATGACTTGCAACACCCATCTTTGCTTGTTTTACTGTAAGAAAAACCCTCCTATCATTTCTGGTACTTTAAAGTGCATAAACCCACAAAGTAATGGCTATGTCTGTGGTCCACAGAGTGCATCTGGGATGCAGTGAGGACAGTCTGCCCCAGAAGATGCTGTACCTGCACTGTGGGCCACAGAGCAGGTTGTCCCCTGGGTGGGCACCAAGGGCGTGGTGCAGGTATTTTCTGCACTTGGTGCTGCCTGTTGGCAAAGCAGAGTCACCAGGCAGCTTTGAGAAGCCCAGGGAGCATTTTCCCACTCTGGCAGGGGAAATGGGAGCAGGGACAAGGGGTGCAGCAATCAGAGACCCTCAGTATTTTCAGAGCCTCACTTGATAAAGCAGGGCAACCTTCTGAGTGCTTACACTGGAGTTAGAGTCAGGTGGTGCCAGGGCCTGGGCAATTCCCAGAGGGCATGGTCTAGGAGCTGTTTGTGTGTAATCCTGAAGTAAACACACATCCCAGTAATCTGCTATAGATTTGTCTGCACTCCAGACTTAAGTGCTATTAATTATCTCCCCCACTCAGAAGCCTCCAAGAAGCATTAATTAGAAAGCAGGAGCTGGCAGTTTTCTTGCCTGTGTGAAACTATTATGACCTGAGAATGAAGTATAAGCTTCAAAAGAAACACATTTTATGAAGGTCACCTTGAAAAATATCATAAAAATCTGTCAGAAGAGAATGCAGCACTCCAAGTGTGCATTTCAGTGTGACATTATGCTTTTAGTAGTTGGAAATAACAAAGAGAAGATGGATCAGATCATAGGGTCTGTGCTTTTCCACCCAAAATTCTCTTTTTTCTGCAGTAAGTACATATAAAGTAATGTTTTTGTCATTTCAATGGGATGCAAGGAAAATTAATTATCAACACAAATCCAACAAACATAATCTGGCCCTTGCTGGTATTTTTAAAGTGTAAAATATCCAAACTCTCCAACCCTGCATCAGGGAGAAGGTTTATACACAGGAATTACATTACCTCTCCAAGGTGTAAACAGCCAGAAGTGGTGCAGTGACTGTACAGCAGTGACACCCAGACTAGAAAGCTCAGGGCAAAAGGCTTCCCCAAATAAATGTGCTAATGCACAGCAGCCTCAGTGTTGAGGTTGATTATTTTTCTGGTTGAAAAACGTGATTCTTTCTTATGAAAACAGAGTTACAGGAGAGCTAGCTAGAGTTATAAATGAAATGTCATCCTCTTGTGGGAGGCAATGATGTTCCCCTCACACCCATTCCAGCTCTGTTTTGAGGCTGGAAGTAGTACTGTCCTCAAAGTTATACACCTCATTCTCTGGACTTTCATTTCCCTATAGGTGGCCATTTAATTCATTAATTCCACAGAGCACTGCTTGGATCCTGTAATCATGGCTACAGTAGAAACATCAGGGCCAGGGACACAGACACGATTGTACAGCATAAATGCAAAGCAGCAAATGCTTTACTGTTGGTGAAGAAAGCTGACAGCCAAATGTTCTCTTGACCTGCACATCCAGCAGCCTGAATGCCTACCTGGGCTGCCTGTCAAAATCAGATGTTGTCAGTGGGATCAGTTCTTGATTCATCTTTGGCTTTGTGTGTCACATTGTCTGAGAGGAAAATGGGGAAAGCTGAGCATAAGTGGTGGACATTTGTCTGAGGACCTGGGGTAAAAGAGCTGAGGTACAGGACAATGCTGAGCTTCAAATAAGGATGATATCAACTGTGACTAGGTATTCTTACACCCAAACCTGTGCTAAAATGATGCTAATCTCTTGCCCCCAAAGCTGCCAGAGGATGCTCTTCACGAGCAGCCAGACCCTCCTCGAAGCAGATTCTCAAAATACGTGCCAAGTGATTCACAGGCTGCCATCGAACTGTCAGTCAGGAGGGGCTTACAATGGAAACTGTTGCTCAAAATGCCGTGGGAATGGGAAACATATGTTTCAGTGAGAGAGACAATCAAACAAAGAAGTGGGTGGCTGGGGAATTGCAGCCACAACAGCAGCAAGATCCGAGCCTCGCGCGCAGCCCCGGGGAGCGAGTTCGGGGGCCGTGCCCTCATCTAACACTTGGGTAACAGCTTTGTGTTTAATAAGCTGAGATAATTTTCCCAGTATTGAAGCCAGCTCTAAACATGTTCTGAAGTGAAGGTACAAAACGGAAGATACCAAGCCAAAAGCCTATTTCATGCTCAATTATTAGCAAAGGTTTGTATCGTGGTATCCTGTTGCTGTAGCTGCTGCATAATAGAACTGCCCAGAGAGACTTTGGAACCAGCAACTCGAACATGACCTCAGAGCTTCAACACTGCCTTTGTGTGAGTGTCGGTGTCTAGGCTGTGTAGGTGGAAAGGCATTAATAACTCCTGCAGTAAGTAGTTATTTGAGAAAGGAAGGGAGTGATGGATGTTGGAAATGTGTTGGACTGAGCGTACTTGAGGCTCTGTTGTTTGCCAGGATGTCAGTCTCTACACAAAAGCAGAGGTATTGCAGGAATAAACTCAAATGCCCCATTTGTGTCAGCACCTGGGGCTGCTGCAAGCCTCCAGCTACCACTGCAGCAGCACCTGTGCCATGAGTTTGTGCAGGGATTTCACACACAGCTTCCACAGCTTCAGGCTCTCAGCATTCCTATTTCTCTGCTTCAGGAACACCTTCCACATCTGTCATGTCACCTGTTACAGGTCTTTTACGAGAATGGGCCACCAAGAGATGCATAAAATTGGAGCAGACATGGCAAGAATTGCCCCATTCATTCTCCAGTGTGGGGGCATTTTCTGGGTGATGGTTCCAAATCACTGGTGTGTAATTCCTTGGCATTAGGCAGAGTCCCACCACATGGTCAGGATGGATGAGGATAAACAAGAGATGATAGTCTTGAAAGATTATTTGTAGGAGCTTATATAAGAGATCATGAGCCCCAAAGAGTCTTGCATGAGGTTATTATAGCAAAATAGATTTTGAAGTGTAAGAAGCTGGATTTGATGACACAAGATGCCCTTTCTAATCCTTTGTTCCTATGAGGAGCGGTCAACAGGGCTGGGGACTGTGCTGTCTTACTCAGGGACATCAGAGAGGTGGCCTCACTTCATGTTTGTTTTTTGTAAAATGATCCTGACCTCTGTCCAAGGATGCTTTGTGAGTTAGGAATGAAAAGCACGATGTGAAAGGCAGGCATTGCTATTATTTGCAAGTGCAGTTTATTGAAAAAGCAGATAAGAAATCGGACAAATCTCTTTCTTGCTCTGGTAAATAATTTTAAAATAGTTGTGTGCAAGGCATTTCTCCTTCCTCTGTTGCATAGGAGCTGCAATGTGCTGTGTGGGGGTTTAACACTGAACATTTTCTTTTGCCTACTGCTGTCAGGGACTCCTGTCAGAACACACTAATGAGCACCTAAGTCGTTAGTAATAAACAGCCTCACATTTTGTCTTACTAACAAAGATCAAAGCTGCTATTATATGTAATGATCTGTTATGTTTGATACTTCTCAGGTAACAAAGTGTTTGGAACACTTCCCAAGACACCAGAAAGTCCCCAGAAAGAACAACCTCATTCTCCAGTTCTCAGTGGCCCTGGAACTGCAGCTCAACAATTTTATTATGTTCTACAAGTATGGGATTCTTCCATGAAAAATTTTATTGGACCTTTGGATATCATCAAGGTTGAATTCCAGCTAAGACAACTAAACAGCACTGGTTCAAAATATTGCTCCGAATTGTAACTCATATTTTTCTGAATTGTGTACTTGGGAATGAATCTTTTTAAATTGTCCCTTGGCCTAAATAGAAATAAAGTGCCAGGAAAATCAAGTAGCTACTGCGTTTAGGTACGTTATAAAGTGTTTACTCCTTGTGTGCTCTTTGATTCAGTTACTGTATGTAGGCTATTTTATCATAGAAAAATTAGATCTTTTAGCAGTGTGGCAATTCATACAAACCAAGACTTTGTTACAGACTAGCCAAGATAAACTTGGAAAGCTGTTTTTTCTTCAGGTGAGTTCTATAACAAGAAATATTAAGCTTCCTGAGATCTTTATTTTTTCTGTTCTTTTAAAGCATTATGAAAAGGCTTATATTTTTAAGTGACACAAAACACTTCTGTAAAACAATTAATATGGGAAGTTGCTCATGGGATAATAATCACATTAGGGTTAGGCTGGCATGAATGGCTGCTCCCAGCCACAAACAAGGAGTGGGAGCCTCCCACGTGGAACAATCTCTGGGCAAGAAATGCTGTGTTGAGAACCCTGCACAGGAAGAAACCCACCACGGGTTAGTTGTTGATTGCTAACACATAATACAGGAAAAGAAGGCAAACAACAGATGGAAGAGAGAAGAAATGAGTCCGTAAGATCTGCATGAAAAGAGCACCCATAATCCTCCTCTGGAACTGCAGGGAAGCAAACAACCAAAGCTTTCTGTGTCCCCCAAAGTCAGGATGAAAAAGAAAATGCTCCCAGGTCTTTCAACAAGAGTCATGCTGAGGGAGGCCACAGGGTGCAGAGCCTGTGGAGTCAAGTCCAGACCTGAGCCTGGTAGAGCTTTTCCTGCCTGGCAGCACAGTGTGATCATGTTCAGAACAAATTCAGCTGCTCCATGATAGTCTGTCCTGGAGGGTTACAGCCTGACCCGAGAAGTATGAAAATGCACAATGGATGAGTTCTAATCATTTTCACCAAGTCTCTCTCTGCTCTCTGCTCTGCAGAGCCATTCAGTCCAATGGCTTGAAGTCCTTATGCTTGTCAAATATAAATAGAAATACTAGAGCAAAATCACTGATGTTTGATTCCAGTTTTTACTGTCGTGCTATTTAAATATTGCTCCTGAAAACCACTTTGATTCAAAGACTTACCATGACCCAATGTGGCCCCCAGTATCTTCCATTAGCCCTTTAAAAACTGTACAGATTGTAACACTATTTCTTTTTCTGTGCAGAGTAAATGAAAAGTCCATTTTGATGGTGTCTGCACTTTTTAGACCCTGAGCAAGGGCTGAATAAACAGGAAATGAAGGTCAGGGAGCAAGAAGCAACAGAGAAGGTAAGGTGAGCAGACAGAATGGTCAAAGATGCTGGCAAATGGGCCAACATAAATGGTTGTCCTTTTGCACTTTAGCATTTCAAGTTGCTGTGATTTCACATAGAAGGAAGACAATGGTTGTGCTGCTGGGCAACACTAAAGAAAAACCTCAGCATCAGTTACATTTGCAAGGCATTTTCAAACCTGCTGCTCAATGGCTTCCTATTTATTATGGAATATTCTGTATTAATTCTGTAGCCTGTGATGAGCAGGCTCTGTGCCAGGCATTTTGCATGGGGGCTGCAGAGCAGATGAGTGCTGAGCTTCATGGAAGATTTCATTTGTGTAAATGAGGAGGCCGTTATCACAGCACTAAAGGTCCTGGTTTTAAAAAAGGCCTCCTGTGACATTATGCACAAAACAACCTATTTATGCAGCATGAAAATATTTATGTGCTTCGCTCCAGCTTAAAAAGGGAATTTGCAATAGATGAGGGACATGAGAAAGGATTGGAGTGAGAGATAAGGAGAGATTAGAAAAGGCAGATCATGAAGTACATGACATCCTGCAGCAGTATGTGGAGTAAACCCTCACGGTTTTTTTAAGATGTGGACCTTGAAGATGCTGTCTGGATCATTTATATACTTCTTACAGACTTAATTTTCCACAGGCAAGGAGCTGTATGCAGAGGTGCCGTTGCAGGAAATGTGAGGAGATGCTGTGCTGAAGACACTGGTGAACTTTGTAACCATCTTTGTCCTTTTCAGCCTTCATCTCTCACTCTCATGGGGTCGTGCCTGGGGCTTGCCTGTGGGCTGGGGAATGCCGCAGTGCTGAGCTCCCTCACCCAAAGCAGGAAACATGGGAAAAATCCCTAGTGCAGGGGCTCAGATGGATGTGGCACAAGAGGAGTTGTCCCAGTGGGGTGGCTTCATAACAGGACAGAGCTCAGATCCTGTCCTTACCCAGAAGGAAATCTCCCAGATTTTTTCAATTCCCAAGATTTTTTCCTGAAGCAGCAGCTCCTCTGAAGGGCTGCAAGGGCTGTGCATGTGTGCCTCTTTTTCCATGAGTAAACCAGATGTGGTTCAGCCACAGCTCTCCTCACTGACTTAGAGGAGCAGCTTGGGAGCTCCACATGTCCCCTGACTGCCCTGGAACAGAAATTGCAGAGGAGGTGACCCAGGACACGGCCAGGAGAGCAGACAGGTTATTGGGAGCTCGATCTGATGGGACACATCAGCCCATGCATCCACTGCCATGCCAGGCAGCTCAAGTGCTTTCAGCAAAGGCTGTGAGTGCAGCATGGGGATGTTTGTTATTTGTCTTTCAGCAGTTCAACATTGTTCTTGCTCCAGATGCAGATGTACCAGCTCCAGGTTATCCATGGGACAGCTGATGCTGCCCCAGGCAGCTCAAAACGGGTGTGTGCTGACAGGTGAATGGGCTGGGGATGGGCTGTGTCAGCTCCTTGAAGATTTTGTGGGTTAATTCAGAAACCTATGCTGCTTCTAAGCTCCCCCAGCACACATTCACCCACCCCCAGGTATCAGGCTCTCTTTTGATTCTGTGCTCAAATAAGCCAGTGTTTTGTTTTTAGGTAATGTTGGAGAGAAGGGAAAATGTTCTGCTGGTCTCTGTGGGAGCCTGACTGGGCTGCAGACAGGCTGATGCCAAGACAGCAGGTCCTGGCTGCAATGGGGGGAGTCAAGGTCAGCTCCTGAGCATGTGACAGTACCCTGAAATGTGGCCAGGGACTGAGCAGTCCTGAAATAAAAATACCTGAGTCCATGTGGAATCTGGGCTGATCTCATACCCAGCCATAAAGCAATAAAATTCTAAATGCCCCAGTACCCACAGAGCTCATGAAAAACTCTCAAGCCCAAATACACACATAGTGACAGCCATGAAAGTACCAAAATAATATCTGTGCCAGCTTTCTGTGTCCTCCCATCCACTCCCCACCTCTCACTGTCACTGTGGTCGATGGCTGCTGAAAAGCCTTGTCCAATTCCCGCATCCTGACGTGCAGGCCAGCAACTCTGTGAAGGAGAAAATGCTGCTGCTCATGTAAGCTGTCCTGTGTGTTGGCAGGGCTGTGAGTTTCAGAACAGAGTGATATATTTCAGCTCTTGTGAAATTTCTGAATAATCAGCTCATCAAAAAATATCATGCAGAGTTCCCTTGTAGTCCTTTCCAACTTGCCACCTCTCCTGCCAATAGCTCCGTAGGGTGACCACAGCTTGGCAGAGCCCATTAGCACAGCTCTGCACAATCACTCATGAGTAGAGCTGGCTGGAAAATACTGTGTTCCCTCCTGAAAAAAAAAAAGAAAGAAAAAAGATGAGGTGGGGCAGAGGGTGTGTTTCAGGATGAAGATTTTCCCCACTTCTCTGACCAGAGCCCTCTTCTGCTCCCCCATTGCACCTCACCCTTTTTCTTCCTTTGACTCCAAGAAAATAAAAAATTCAGCGTAACATGGCAAAGACATTGGATGCTGTTTGATCTGCTGGTGACTCCTGGCCCCCAGGGCTTGGACTGTCACTGCAGGATGGGCACCAACACACTGGCACCTTCTCCACCAGAGACTCCTGAGCAAGCTGTCCTTGGACCTGCACATTTTGGTGCAATGGCCCAGTTTCTTCTTTGGAGTTTCTTGAGAAGATATTCTTGAGATAGATTTCTCTTCTTTAGCAGCACAGCAACCTGCTGCTTGGGCATCTGGGAGCTGGTACCTTGTCTCTGTGCTTGGTGAGATGGGGGATGCTGGAAGAGCCTCAGGAAAACCTGACCAGCAGTGCTGCAGAGCCAGAGGGCAGAGCAGCCAGAGTCCCTTCATCTGCTCCTCACAGTCCTGGGCTGCCTCCAGGCATGCCCCGCTGTGCTTTCCCATTCATTGTAGACACCTGTTTCCAAGTCCCAGGTGAACCTTCCTTTGGCTGGGAAGAGCAGAGTTCCTCTGTGTCCTCTAAGGATGCTCAGCTGCTGCCGCTGTGGGGAGGAGGCTGCAGACCCCCTTAGGGCAGGGGGTAAACAAGGAAGGTGGTGCAAAAATCAATGGTTAGTGCATTAGGATTAAAACTGTGGCACAAAAGCCTCGTATGACTGAGATCATTCTATTTTTTAGGTCTGTGGTAGCTGCATTGGCTGTGACACTTGGTGCAACATGGGTTTAGTCCTTGTGTCACATTGCAAACCCCTGTGTGGGACACGACTGCATCCAGCAGTAGCAATGGCTCCAGCACAGGTTTCCTGCACTGCCTGTCCCCTCCTGGACCTACCTTGACCTGGCTGCAGCTGCCAAGCATTTGCTCTGTCCCTCTCTACTTGTGTCACCATATCTTTCTGCTCAGGCTTTTGTCATTTCTTTTGTCACCATAGTGACAGGAAAAGAGTGATGATTGCTGGAGTAATTTCCTATATTAGCTAGCACTGGCTTTTCAGCCTAAATCAGCACTTCATTTTCCCTGTGCTCTGGCTGAGCATCACTGGAGCACCATTAAAGAGCAGTGGCAGAGGGGCCTTGGTGTGTTGTGGGGCTGCCAGTGCTCCTTGGGGACAGCCAAGGCAGGGACAGGGCCTTCAGGGCACCTTATGTCCCACCAAGAATGCAAAGAGAGAAGGGGAAGACAAAAAAAAATGTATTTGCAAAGGTTTCTCCCTGAGTGCATTTGCTCAGTCTCAAGGTCAATAAAAGCAGGAATTTGAGCACTTCTGCCTGTCCTGGGGCACGTGCCTGTCTGCAGGGCAGTAAGAAGAGCTCCCCAGAGGGAACTGCTCATCCTGACTGATGTAGTGAGTGGGCAAAGACCCCCCTGTGCCCCCAGT